CACAGACACACAGACACACACGCACACACACACACACACACACACTAAATGAGGACTCTCCATAGGCGTAATGGTTTTTATACTGTACAAACCGTATATTCTATCGCTCTACACCAACCCTACCCCTAAACCTACCCCTCACAGGAGACTTTCTGCATTTTTACAATTTGAAAAAACTTTTGTTTACTTTATTTTTATACCAGTTTTACAAATGAGCACATCCCCAAATGGAGGTTTTTGGAGATTTTGTCAGGTTTAGTTCACTTTTGAGTACAAATTTGTCCCCAAAATATGGTTAAGTAGGTACACACACACACACACACACACACATACACACACACACACACACACAAAAGGGAAGAGACAGCTTGACGTGCAGGATAAAAATAGGCCTCGCTGTATTTAGGACGGGATGGGTTACTGCACTCTTGAACAAGTGCTTCTGTCAATCAAGACTTTACACAAAATGGCAGACAAAGGGAACTGGGCTTTGGCAATAACAGGCAAGTTAATTCTCTTTCTTTTGGAGTTTTTAAAGAGATTTCTAAGATTTCAAAGCTGAAACAAATATTACAGAAGTAGGTTTGGGTGTTTCTTTGCTTTGGCACACTGCAATGTATGAAACATATGGAAGTGAAAATACAAGAACTATTAATAAGTGCAAGCAGTCTTATATTTCTGTAAAGGCACTATTAAAAAACCTATTAAATCTCTATCAAACATACTCGAGTGCATAATAAATCATATTAAAGTGACTTCTTGAAGCTAATAGTCTTTGCAGTCTGCACAGCGGGTTTTCTGTTGGTCCGGGCCGACATTATCACAGAGGCTCCGGTGGGTCAGCTGTTTGTCTATGAGCTTCACCGAGAGGTTTTCCAGAGTGAATTTGAGCCTTTTCATAAAGTCTTTGGTATGTCGGAGCAATATTCACAATATTTTAATGCCCAGTTCAAAAGTAACAGCATGTTTGACAATAAATGTGTCTTGTCCTGACCTGTAGGTCAAGTTTTTAATGATCCCATGGTGTTTAAATGCAACAAGGAGCGATTTCCAGATCTGCCCCGCTGGCTGCGCTTTACCCAGAGAGACGTCTATGACAACGGATTCCTGTACGGGACGCCACTGCCACGGGACCAGGGCAGGAACATCATAGAGGTGAACCACCCATCGCTCACATTTAAAACAGATCATATTGTATCATATTTGACATGATTTATAAGGCCTCTAAATGATCAAAATCGCTGAAGAACCTGTTGCACACAATCTACTCCACGTTTTTAGCAAGTAAAAGGACGTTTAATATAATTGTTCAAACATCTAGATTCAGCTCGTGCAATTTTTATTGAGTAAACGCAATAATAACTTTTATATTGTTAGGAATATTTCAGGATGAGCACTTACTGGACTGAAGGTTTACTTGATTATCCAGATTTTTTTTTTTTTTAGAAAAATCATGTTAAATGTGAGTATCAGATATGATCATCAGGCTTTTGAGGAACATTTATTTGTTCACCTCTCACTCATCATTGGCTTGCGTTGCACTATAGGTTTTGATCATAAAACTAAGCATTTAACTCTTTCCCCGCAAGCATTTTTGAAAAAAGTTGCCAGCGATTTTGATGATTTTCACTCAGATTTGATGGCCTTCCAGAATATTTTGCTGTATGAATATTTGAATATGCAATACACCAAAATAAAGATCAGAGCCTCTACTTTTAAACAAAACAATGTTTATTCTACAGTTTTATTCTAGCTTAAAGCATTCTTTTTTCTTAATCAACACTGGAATATAGGTAGGTTTCATAAAAATGCATAATTTTGAGCAAAAAGGTGAGAAAATCACATTTTTATCAAAAACTACATCTGGGTAATATTCAGTACGATTATCAAAGCATAAATCCAGTAAATCGCTTCTATCAACACCTCCAAAGCTTGCACAGACATACCACTTCCTGAATCAACATTTTACTCCGTAACATTATGCAGTTTTGCCATTTATTGGAAAATGGCATCTCAGGAACCGCACGCCAGTGGTTTGAGTCTTTCCTCTCAGATAGGTCCTTCAAGGTATCTTGGAGAGGTGAGGTGTCCAAGTCATTGTGTCTAGCTACTGGGGTGCCTCAGGGCTCAGTACTTGGACCACTTCTCTTCTCTGTCTACATGGCATCACTAGGTTCTGTCATTCCGAAACATGGCTTTTCATATCACTGCTATGCTGATGACACTCAACTCTACCTCTCATTCCATCCTGATGATCCGACGATAGCTGCTTGCATCTCAGCTTGTCTAACAGACATTTCTTGTTGGATGACGGACCATCACCTTCAACTCAACCTGGCTAAGACAGAACTGCTTGTAGTTTCAACAAACCCATCACTTTATCAAAATTTCACCATTCAGTTAGGCACATCAACCATAACTCCTTCAAAAATAGAAACCTTGGAGTTGTGATTGACGATAAGTTGCATTTCTCAGACCACATTGCTAAAACTGCCCGGTCCTGCAGATTTGCTTTATACAACATTAGGAAGATCAGGCCCTTTCTTTCAGAACATGCAACACAACCAGGCTGGACTATTGCAATGCTCTCTTGGCAGGTCTTCCAGCCACTTCTATCAAACCTCTACAATTAATCCAAAATGCCGCTGCAAGATTAATCTTTAATGAGCCGAAAAGAACACGTCACACCTCTGTTCATCAATTTGCACTGGCTACCAATAGCTGCTTGCATTAAATTCAAGGCATTAATGTCTAAACATTAATTTAAATGTCTAATAAAAAGTCTAATCAAAATATCTTCTGAATTGCTTATCAGATTTTCGTGATCAACAAGCGGAATTACGACACTTTTAAAGAGAGGCTGGTGATAAATGTGGGTCCTGCAGGTATGATATCATTCAGTAAATAACTACTACTAGACTAATGGAACAGATCGATCACTCAAGCTCTGCTGTATTTTCTGGATGGGTGAGGTTTATAAACATGGTTTCTTTTCCTCGCAGTAAAGCAGACGCCATACCAGGCTGAGTTCTTCATAGAGCTGAGAGAGATTGAGAAAGTGCTGCCCGCTGCTGTTCAAACTGAGATCAAACTGGACATTCAGAACCTGTGGAGAACCAGCAGGCTGGATTTTGTCAACATCACCTCTGCTCTGGACAGGGGCGGCCGCGTCCCCCTGCCGCTTCCAGGATATTTTGAAGGGTGAGGCTACAGAGCAACTCTTAATGGCTCTTATTATGTTGTTGTTGTTATAATAAATTAAGTATAAATTATTGTAGTTTATATCAATTATTATTAGAGGTTATATAATAATAATACGATGATGATGTCCTTTAAAAACGTTTTCCTCAAATATACATATCATACTGTAATAATAAAGCATTAATATTAATAAAGTAATAACAAAGTATTGATATTATTACTATATTATGTTATAATTTTTTCAATTATTATTATAGAACATTTTTTTTCGTAATATTACATAATATTACTATATTAATAATAATAAATAATAGCAATAATCAAACGTATTAATATTATCATATTATGATTTTGTTGATAAATATATTTTTTACCAATTATTATTAGCGTATATTTTATACTAATAATATATACTATTACTATATTATAAATAATAATAATAATCATCATTATAAATGTTATACTATAATAATAAATTATTAATATTATTATATTATGTTGTTGTTGTTAAATTATTAATTTTTACTAGTTATTATTAGAGTATATATTTTACTAATAGTATATAATATTACTATATTATACTAAATAATAATCATCATCACCAACATCGTTATTATAATCACATCATGTTGTTTTTGTTAAAGTATTATGGTTATTAGACAATATTATACTAAATAACAAAAACAACAACAATAACAATTATTATTTTATTATTAGTAGTAATTTATTTACTTTGTTTCAGTCACTATCTTTGTCTTGTTTTCCAGTAAATGTATCTAAATATCCTTTACTTGAGATGCAACATTTCATAAGCTATTAAGATAAATATTCAAGAATATTTCTAGAATTAAATGTGCTTTTCTTACCCAACTGGCAAATTGTGAGGTTTATGATTATAACAAAACAAAATAAAGTTATATCAAGATATATTCTAACAGGTCTTATTATCTACCATAATTTTGCTTCTCGGTGTCTTTTTATCTTGATTTAAAATACTGATTTGAAATATTTTGAGATATATTTTGTGTTGAATTGTTGACTGCAGACTTGATAATCATATATTTTGATAATGTGATTTTCGAACAACGTAGTATGAGAGCCTGTTCTAGTACACCCCCAAAACAAAATCAAGACTTTGTAAAAGAGTATAATAGGACCCCTTTAAGAAAAGACACTCAAGGCAAAACCATTGTTTATTTGTTTTTTTATGAGATTTTGGGCTACATGTCGTCTTTCAGAATAGTGGGAAAAAACATCCAAAATATTTTCATAATAACAATTACATTGCCCTGCATCATATTTGCTGGTTGAAAACCTTGTTTCCTTTTAATTATGATGTGCTGATTCTGAAAATACTGTCTATTTTGCTTGAGCACGTCACACTTTCTCAAAATATGCATTTTGTGGCATTATTGCTTTTGACAACTATTTGTAAGGTGATGAAGTCTCGCATTCTCCCTTAATCAATTAAAAAAATATGTGATGGAAAGTTTTTATTGATGTTTTTGTTTTGGCAATTCAACATTATTTTTCTAGACACAGGGCTGTTATTGTTGTCTGTTGCTTTGAGTTGCAATACATATCTTTAAAGGCCATTTCCTCAAAATGAGTTAATAAGAAAGTGTTTCTCAGTGTACTGTGAATAATTAACTGGGGAAGTATGGTGATATCTATTAGTTTTTACCCTTTTCACCTGTGGTGTCTGAGCACATTTTCCCTTTTTCTCATCTCAGTCTGCAGCTCTATCATCACCACACCATTCAGGGTAATGCCAACGAGCTGCGCAGGATGGCCGGCGGAGACAGGCGCACCGTGGATCGTCCTCGGCAGTGCTTACAGCCGCTCCTCATGGCAGAGCAGGCAATGGCAGAGAGCTGAGGGACATCAGAGCCAACTTTAATAGCCACTGTCTGTGGAAATGTGTTTAAGGTTCACTATTTGTTTCTTGCTTTGTGTTTCTTCAAGGAATACGTCACTCAAAAATGAACATTCACCCAATAATCCACCCAAAAATGTTGTTCCGAAACCATATGCTGTTGTTTTTTCCATGAAAGCATAAAAGGAGCAGTTGTTAAACTCCAGAAACATATAAAAACCATAGCTCCAATTGAGCTGTGCTGCTGTGCAGTATATAATCAGTGATTTGAAATCTTTGTGTGATTAACTAATTGAATTAAACTTATATCACTGTCAGTTTGCATTGGTCAAATCTGACTAATTAGTTTAACCCTCTGGTGGTCTTTGGTCATACGGTCACGTCAAAAAAAAAAAATGCATTTTTAATTTTTGGTACAAATAAAATGTGGACATTATTTAAAAAGGCTAAATGGTCTTGTGATCTTCACAGTCGAAAATAACTGGAAATACTAAAAATACAAAATACACAAGTAAATATTTAAGAACAAATATTACTGCAACAAAATATAGTGTAAATATTTAAGAACAAATATTAGAGAACAAATATTACTGCAACAAAATGTAGTATATTTATTTAATTAAAAATGCTTATTCTTTCATCTCTTTTGACTGCCGAGGATCACAAATGAAAGTGAGGAATACCCGAGGGTTAAAATTAGATTGTGTTTTATTAACGTCTACACCTACCCCAACCCTAAACCTACCCCTTACAATAATGCAAAAATAGTAATTATCGTTGTACAGTGTGAGAAAAATTACGCTATATTTATGCAGTTTTTGCTGTATCCCTTCTAGCCTTAAAGGGTTAATTCACCAAAAATGAAAATTAGTCTGTGTTTTACTCACCCTCGAGGCATCCTAGGTGTATATGACTTTCTTCTTTCAGTCGAATACAGTCGGAGTTATATTAAAAATGGTCCTGGCTATTCCAAGTTCTATCATTGCAGTCAGTGGGTGTTGCAGTTGAACAGTCCACAAGTCGTCAAATAAAGCGCGCGCATCCATAATAAAACGTGCCTCACACGGCTCCGGGGGGTGAATGAAGGCCTCCTGTAGCGAATCCATGCGTTTTTGTAAGAAAAATATCAATATTTTAAATGTAATAAACACTTTTCTCTCACTTCCGGTGTCTGTCATATGTGGAAGCCGTTCCGATGACGCAGCACGTGTGCGCACTGCGCGCGCCTCTGAGATATGCTAGTCTCGCGAGTTTGTTTATAGGAGCAAAGGAAGCAAAGTTTCCTTACTTTAGCAAAGGAAAACCAGTCTCCTCTTGGTTTATATCGAAATCCTCTGACATTTTTATTTGCAAATCCTCGGTTTGTACTTCTAATTCGTGACCGGCGTTTTGTTTTGCTCTCTCACCGCATTCGTCACTAATGACGCAACGCCGACGTCTTACGTCATCCGCTGGAACGGCTTCCGCGTATGACAGTCAGCGGAAGTGAGAAAAAAGCATTTATTACGTTTGAAATATGGATATTTCTCTTACGAAAACGCATGGATTCGCTACAGGAGCCCTTTATTCACTCCCCGGAGCCGTGTGAGGCACGTTTTATTATGAATGCGCGCGCTTTATTTGACGACTTGTGGACTGTTCAACTGCAACACCCGCTGACTGCAATGATAGAGCTTGGAATAGCCAGGACAATTTTTTATAAAACTCCGACTGGATTCGACTGAAAGAAGAAAGTCATATACACCTAGGATGCCTCGAGGGTGAGTAAAACACAGTCTAATGTTCATTTTTGGGTAAACCGTTAAAAAGGTTGAGTATTGGTGCCGATACCAATCCAGAATCTGTGACTCTTATAACAACTGTAAAACTGAATGCGGTGTACAGTATGGTTTGATGTGGAAAACGTACAATTTTGATTCTGTGCATGTTGGGTAATGTGTATCCCGATGAACTTTGTCTGCATTTAACATTAAATACTTCGATTGGTCTGTTTAAAGGTGCGTTCAGTAGTTCTTCTTCTTTGTGTACTTGAAGTATCGCTACTATAATGGTGTTCGACGCTGCACTGCCATCTATCGACGTTGATCAGCATGACGACCTCTGTGTTTTATGTAAATTACACTGGTTTTACACATGAATCCCCTTACCTGTCGAACTATTCACCGCCTTTAAAACCTTTTCTGCTTCTTCGGCTGTACAGGTAGTATTTCACCCGTTGTGTCCATTGATAAATCACGATAATAAGTGTTTTCCATCGTCTAATTTGAACTC